TCTTTGCTTTCAGGTAGATGGCTGTGTATATGTTATTAAAAATTATAGGACGTATTATTTTATTAGTTTGCATCCAGCCATCCGTTGGTGGTTGCCATTAACGCTTTTGATGACTATACCGTAAATGATTTATTATTATACTACGTAATTATCTTTATGCGATGTGATTACTTTTTTTAAAAAAAATTGCTAATTCAATTTTATGCTATTTTGCTATTGCTACTGTGATTGTAATTGCTATTGCTATTGTGACTGCTAGAAGCAAAATGCCAGTATTAGAAAAATGATTGAATTAAAATAAAAGAATTGCAAAATAAAAATAAAAAATAATTTAAATACAACTAATAATTAAAGTTTGAATCTGAGTATAATAAAGAGAAATACAAAAACTAAAGTAAATATAAGCAAAATTTTATTAAAAAAAAGTAATATTGCTAAAAATAAGATCAAAGAGAATAAAAAGATAAAGAAAAAAATTCAAGTAATAGAGCAGTGTTGGGAAATTGGACAGTTTTGGTTTTTGGACAAAAACCGTTCAAAACCAAAACTATATTTAATTAGTTTTGGACAAATATATATAAGGTAAAAGGGGTATTATAATGCAGGTAAGTTATTATGTAATTTAGACAGTTAATTTTCTGATATCTAATTGGTTAATATTGTATAAATGCATAAAGTGATTTTTTTTGTCTTTTCTAACCATATGCATTTAGACAGTATCGACTGTATTATAATTTCACTTTGATCTGGATTTCATTATGATCCGTCACAGTATTTAATTAAAATAAATAATAAGGCAATGTCAATTGAGGGTGTTCTCAAGCAGTTCCCTCAATGTAGAAATGGCAAGTATTTTAAAACAACCTGTTTTAAAACATATTTTAAATGTTTTAAAACATCTAAAATTTTTAATAAAAAACAATAAAAAACAATATTTATTTATAAACCAATCATCGTATAGAATTTTAATCATGTGATATATAGAACTCTTTATAACAAAAGTGGACAATAGTTAAAATAATTTTTTTAAAAATTTTTATAGGATTAGTTAAAATGCTTCTACTTTAATATTACTAATTCTTCTAATATCTAGAAAATTCTAAGTGTTTAACACCACAATTATTATATCTCAAACAATTGATTAGGAAACTAAAGTCTGATGTATTAAGTAAAAATATTTAAAACCTCTAGAAACCTTATGCTAATCAAAATTTGAACCTTTATATCTGATCTCTTCTTACTACTCTAGACTTAAATTTCATAGCAAAAATATATGTGGTTTCAAATACTATTCTTTATATTATATACTTATAAAAATTTATATATAATTGTATCTATAAAGTATAAATTGTTTTTATTATTTAATAAAAAACACAAAAAATGTTTTAAAACATGTTTTAAAACACAAAAAAATAAAAAACATGTTTTTTTGCCATGCTAGTGATAGGGATGTTGCTTAAATCATTGTGATCAATTGAGTGGTTATTGTAGTAGACTTGCTAAAATTTCATTATGTGAAATGTGGATTTTGAATTTTAACCAATCAGAGCAACTTTATGAAAAAAAAGATGGTCTGCATCTCTAGAATTTTTTCATCAAAGTGGTAGCCTCCTTGATTAATTTATTTAATTTCCGACTAATTAAAATTTGCCTCCGATCTATTGAGTGAGATGCTTGAGAACACCCTGAATTAATTCGATTTTGGTTAAATGGTGTACATCACTTGTAAACGGGTTCCGATCAATTCACCGACAATCATTTCACCGAACGCTCATTTAGCCGACATCACATAGGGTTAGGGTTAAGCATTTGATTAGTTGCAGGTATATATTTTTACTAAATTTCACTGGCGTGATGTCGGCTAAATGAGCTGTCGGTGAAGTGATTGTCGGTAAAATAATACGGACCCCTTGTAAACAATTAGTAAAAATCGTAAAAATCGCAAAAAAATTGGCCCACTCTGTGGTCAAGATTATTCTCAATTTTATTTTAAACTATCCTTAAAATTTTATGAGAAGAACCTTCAAATGCTAGCGAATTTGCAAAATGATACCCAGGAATTAAACCAACAGCTTCTTTATTGTTAAATAAGCCTATAAAGCGAATTTTGCCTAAATTTTACATACTGTATTATTTGACTTTATATTAAAAATTTACCCCCTGAAATGTTGGATCGCCTGATATTAAAAAAATTGAATTGTAATATTCATGGTAAGTTTTTCGCGAACAATGTATCCAGTGCCGAAGTTTAACCGAATTTTGCAAAAACTTAATTTATAACATGTCAGATGTTTGTAGCGTTTATTCCATGCCATATAGTCTGTCGGGTGACTCGGGTAAATATTTACAAATTTGGGACGGTCTCCCTGGTCCCTATTTTTAAGTGGCCTTATTTATTAGAAAAAAATTTCTATATATATAGATCATTTTTACTAATAAAAAAACGTAATACTTTTGATAATCAAAGTGATCAATAAAAAGGTCCTGTTCAGGGACTTATCAAACACCCGGTATACAGGTATAGAGATCACTATGATTTACATATTAAAATGAATAATCATCGTGATCTCTATATTAATGATAGGAATCATAAAGTCATTAATCGATTAATCGACTATTAGTCGACTAATCGACTAAATTAAAATCAGTCGATCGATTAGTCGATTAGTCGACTAGTCGACTAGTCAACTAAATTATAATCAGTCGATCGATTAGTCGATTAGTCGACTAGTCGACTAGTCAACTAATCGACTAATCGACTAATCGACTAATCGGATAAACTATATATATATATATAGTTAACTATATAATTGACTAGTTATTATAATTAATCAGGCAAATTTAATTGGTTAACTATTGTTTATATAACATCTAACTAACCGATTAGTCGAATAATCGAATAATCGATTAATCGATTTTTAGTCAGACGAGTAACAGATTTAGTCGACTAAAAATTTCTGACCGATTCCTTAGTAATCAAAGATTAACAGCCAAATTTAATTGGTTAACTGTTGTTTATATAACATCTAACTAACCGATTAGTCGAATAATCGAATAATCGACTGACTAATTGACTAAAAATTTCTATATAAGGTTACTTAAAAAATAGGGACCATATGTAGGAACTTTTGGATCACCCGGTATATCAACCAATATACGGTATTTATTTTTTAACTAGCTTAGTCCCCTAACGTCCTACGGTTGAAGATGATGATGCATTCACTCAAATGACAAAATCGAAAGATGGTTGATAAAAAGAATAAAGATCATAAGTTACTATTGAAAACCTTATTTTGTTTTGGCCAATAATAATCAAAAATTTCCAAATTATGGCCCTTGTGCACATTTTATAATTTAGAATGGAAAAGCGACAAATATAAAATCATTGAATAAGCGACAAAAGTTCTATATTTTAATTAAAGCGTGACACTTGTATCATGGTTACACCCTTTCGAGCACCAAATCTAAATCTAAACCAAAGAATGATGATTTCTACGTTTCACGGAATGCCGCAGGATCAATTAATCAAACCTTAACGTATTCACATTCGTAGGGATTATATTATATTATATAGTTAATTTATGTCGATTAAAACGTGATCATTGACCAATCAATAGGAGAAATTCAATTCATCGCACAAGTACGTACGTACGTACGTACGTATATTAATAGTTCAGTATTTTGAACTTATAAATTAATGAATGGCAAAATTAGTACGTACGTACGTACGTAGTTTTATCGCAGAATAAGAATCTTTTAAAGATCTACAGAAGTGTGCAAAAAAAGAAAAATTATGCACGGAAATTTTGCAGAGTTTGATGGACGGAATTGGCAATTGATTGCCGCAGAAAATCATCGTTCCCGACCAATTATATCAAGTACAACAACTTCGAAGAACTAATTAAAAAAAGACTTGTTGCAGTAAAATCAATCAAAATAAAAGTTTAATATTTAATCATGAAACCAAAATCAGCATGCGAAAAATTTTTTCTTTGGTGCATTGTTACTTTAAAACCCAAATCGATAAGGTTAAAAAGGCTCATGTATGCATAATCATAGTCATAATTACAGAATTATAGAAACTGTGGAAAACTTAGTAAATGCGAATGGTACGGTATTTGAATATAAAGTTTCTCCTACAGTATATTGAGATAAGAAACTCTCGATATAAGGAAGATTTTGGTTGGGTCCGGGAACTTTCTATATCGAGAGTCATTTTTATAACATGACATGTCTATGGTATCCTGGCAAGTCTTATGAATGCTATATAGTTACAAATATTCCATTACTTAGCCCATATGTTTAGATATCTCAATGTTTGCAATCAGTATTCGGTGATGATGAATTAAAATATTCTTTGAATACTATATATTAAGAGATGAAGATAAATATTAATTTCAAAACACTAGATATAAAAAGTCTTAAGATTAATTTATCGGTCCATCTTTAATTCAGAAAAGTTCGTATACGCTCGCACAAGTTTTAAAATTAAGTTATAAGAGATAATATATATGGTACATTCAGTTTCTTGCTTCTATGTATTGAGATCATAAAATACCTTTCAGTCCTAAAGATCTTGATCGTTCTGCCAAGTTACAATACATAATTGGCGCTTTAACTCAACTGTTCTTTGGGAATCAAAAAATTCTTGCATTCACTGAAAGGAGTCTTGCTAAAGTTATCTATCAAAAACCTTAACGTTAAAGATCAAATAAGTAAGCTGGATAGGCACCGAGCATAACGATAAACAAGGAAAAACCGTTTATAGGTTAGATTAAACCTTAAATACAGTACTGTATCTCGCTTAGAAGTATGTTTGATTAGTAAATAATCACATGATTTACGAAGTCGATCATATTTATTTGCTTATTGTATCAAGTACCGCCTAAATTTTTTTTTTTTATTGAGTGAAGGTTTGTAGAATTCTATGCAATGCTTAACGGTTGTGACTTGATTTACTTTTTTTCATCAAAATAAGTTGCAAAATTGCAACGAACTTATTTGGATAAAGAAAGCTAAAAGCAACTCTGATTCCACTATTTAGTAATGGACATATCTAAAAGTACAAGTGTTACCAGAGAGAGTTCGATCGATCCGGAAGAGCCAACACGCAATAAAAGCAGGAACGGTCGAAGCATCAGAAGAGCTAATGGCGGCTCCAGAGGATTTAATAAACGCACGCAAAAAAATAAAGTAGTAAAGGTTACAAATAAATCCGTTAAGACAAATAAATCACGTAACAAAAATAATAACAAAGAGCAACTACGAATAGCAAAAGAAAATACAACCAGAGTAGTTTATCAACAAGAAGAAACACCACGGGAAGAAATCCCTTACACTGAATTTTTACCTGATTTGAAATTAGACGAACAACTTGAGATTATTCATTCATTAAATGACATTACAGATAACCATGATCAAAAAACGTCGCAGGGACTTTCACGATTGCCAAACACTGTTAATTTACCAAATACAAATGAATATAACGAATTTAAATTAGTCCAAGGCGTAGGGGTATTAACCGACCGCCAGGATAATTTATCATATATTAAAGAGAACTCAAGTTCTGTAACTACGCCACATGAGGACATGGACGAAGACACAGTTCAAGATGATGAACAGGATCGGCCTTCGGATATTGATCAAGCTGTTGATATGCAAACAGAAATCATAAATGAACAAATGGACTTGGAATATTCGACACCTGCGACTTCGGAAACTGCCACTGTGGCAATAGAAACTTTGACCATTACAGAGCCTAACCATGATTCCATACAAAAAGCGCCTCCCATACATTCTTATCGACGTTTCAATTGCAAAAAGTTCGAAAAAGAACCATTCGTTAGACCTGAAGGTCACTATATTCGACATGTCGGTAGGTGTAGCTCATTTTTATTACTGATCTTCCTTTTCAAATGCGACTCTAATCATTAGTTTTTAAAACTTAAGAATTGACCGAAAAAGATCTTGTAGAAATAGTCGAATATGACATGGATGAACAAGGTAATATTTTTTATAAAATTTAATTATTTAATATTATTCGTAATATTCATTTTTGTGTTCATTATACCTTTGGGTAGATGATATATGGTTGAAAACATTTAATCAAGAAAGGAAGAAGGAAGATCTTGGTGAACTTACAGCTGATGTTTTTGAAGCTTTGATCGACCGCTTAGAGAAAGAATGGTTTGATCTGGTAATTAATAATTATGAATTAAATGGTCCGTTAATCATCTGCTATCTCATTATTGTTCGAAGCGTTAGCGTAGGGTCACTTATCTTTTTGCATGAAGAGGTGCCTTCATATGACTGATTTACTATCAGTTCATATGTCCACTACACTTACACATATCTATATCTTTGCTTAAGCATTCATTTATTGAAAATATCACGGGAGAGATATTTTCCGAATATTCAATTTATTATAAATAATATTGAGCAATTTTGCTTCGAACTTCGATTATTTCTATTATCAATTTATTTAAAGATTTACTTTCACATTTTAGACGAAAAACCTGCCAAAAGGCCAAGGAGAAAAAGAGAACCCCGAAGATTCCACATGTGCAATTTGTGATGATGGTGAATGTGAAAATTGTAATGCCATAGTATTCTGTGACGGTTGTAATCTAGCTGTTCATCAAGGTAACTTTTAGATACAACATTAAAATTTTTTATCAAAGATATACTGTTATTTATAATTCATTTCTGCAGACTGCTATGGTATCCCATATATTCCTGAAGGTCAATGGTTGTGTCGCAAATGTATTGTCTCACCGGAAACTCCGGTGGTACGTATTTCAAAACTTAGATTGGAAGACAATGTCTATATTTTCATATTAGATCTTTTTTTCTTATTTTTTATTTTTATTTGTTATTTTTTTCACGAACTTAGTCGTGTATATTCTGCCCCAATGAAGGTGGGGCTTTTAAGAAAACAAATACAAATCGCTGGGCACATTTACTTTGCGCTTTATGGATTCCAGAGGTCGGGCTGTCTAACCCTGTATACATGGAACCTATCGATAATATAGAGGGAATTCCACGTGGCCGATGGAGACTAGTAAGCTTATGTTATATAATGAACTTTTATTCTTAAGAACTCTAGTTGAAAGTTAATATCAATTCCTTTATTATAGAAATGTTATATTTGCGAGAAAAAAATGGGTGCATGTATTCAATGTCAAAATACACATTGCTGTACAGCTTTTCACGTTACATGCGCAAGAAAAGCAAAGCTTTGTATGCGAATGAAATTCCCAGATCCCAATAGTGATGCAAATCAAATGAAGGCATATTGCGATAAACATACTCCGGTACTATCAACTCTTAATCTGTCATAGCTTTCAGATTCTTTATATATTTAATATTGTTTCTCCTTTTAGCGCGATTATAGAGATCAAGTTGATGTTGTCCAATCAGTTGCTAAAGCACAGAATATTTTGATTGATCCTGTACCAGCAGCCAAAAAACGTAGAATAGAAGTTGATGCAGACTATGATGATTCAGATGAATATATTCCTAGTGATGATGAGGATGATGACAGAGATTTACGTGAGAATAGTAGATCTGATACTTCAGCTTCCCGTAAGACACGGAAGCGAAAGGAATCAGACAGTGCTTCGTATCCACGAAAAACAATTAAAGTCAATCCGCAAGAGTCTGAAAAGCGGTTATCTAATAAATTAGTTGAGAGTTCAAAATCTGCACGTGCATATAATCGCTCTTACATGGAGACAGCCCTAGTTGCACCAGCGATCATAATGGATAGGCTGCTACCTGTTTTGTCAATGCATAAAGGGCAGCTTAGAAAAAAACCAGAAATGATTGCTACTATATGTAAATATTGGTCGTTGAAAAGAGAATCCAGACGTGGTGCTCCATTACTAAAGCGTCTCCATCTTGAAGTAAGGAAAAAAAATTGTATATACAACTTTATAACTAAATTACGACTTAGTGGTATTATTATTATTTTTTTAAAAAAATTTTATAGCCATGGACTGCATCTGCATCGGCTCACAAGCAATCAGAAGAGGAAAAAATGGCCAAATATGCGGTACATATTTGCTTATTATTGTTAAATTGTCTTTCTTACTGAATATTTATCAAGTCAAATATTTGTAGGCTATGTTGGATCTTCGCAAAGATTTGGAAAAAGTGAGGATGTTGATCGATTTAGTACACAGGCGTGAGAAAGAAAAGCTGAAACGAAATAAATTACAGGTTAAATACCTGGAAACCATAATTTTCCCACTAGATTACATTATTGGACCGGTTTTGAACACCCTTTCTAGGTATCTATTGAGTTTCATGTGCCATATCTGTTTTAATGGATATTACAAATATACATCTATTTATCATTAAATAGTATGGATAAAAATGAAATTTTTGCAAAACCTGTCTCGTTGGAGGAGGTGCCAGATTACCATCTGCATATTAAACATCCAATGGATTTTGGAACGATTCGGAAAAAAATTGAAAATCATGAATACAGTCTCGGTTCCGGTATGCAAGGATTCAAGGTAATAGGTGTTATTTTATAATTTAACCCAATAAATTAGATTTAGGGTATTCATGATAATTTATCATTAACTTAGGATGATATCGAATTGACGCTTCAGAACGCTATGACCTATAATACGTCCAACACTATTTATTATAGAGTTGCTAAAAAAATACGTCAGCAATTCCAAATAATAGCCGAACAAATGGAGAAAGATTATGCTGAGTTAAACATAGATCCTTCTAAAGGAATTTTAGATGTTGAAATTCATCCAGAAATTTTCACCTATAATGATAAACCACTTAGATTTGAAAAAGAAGTCATCAAACCTACTTCTCGTCCAAATCGTGTAGTTAATTCAAAACATCAAAATCAGGATGGTTTGTCTCGTTGTTCACCACAAAATAGAGAGACGAGATCAATAAGACGGAAAAAAACTATCAAAGACAAGAAAAAACCAGATACGCCTATTGTTTTAAATCGCAAACCCAGAGCTCCTAAAGGATGGGTATACTTAACTGATGATGAAGAAGGAGAGGACAAAGGAGAACACATACCAATTGTTTTAGAAAGTTCAAATCAATATCTTAATGATCTTGACGAAGATAAAGCTACAATTTCTTCTCGAACTAGGTCTCGAAAAGACGGTTCATCAAATTCATCGAATGTGGACAATGAAAAAGAAAGCTCAACAACAAAATTAGCCAATGCACAAACAGAAAGATATACAAGAGGAACAAAACGGCAGGCAGAAAGATCTGCAAAGGCAGAACATATAGATAACTCTGAAATAGTAGTGATGGCACCTGACAATTCAATAAACGAAACAGCTGAAATAAAGGAACTAAAGGAACTAAAGGAACATTTACAGATGTTGAAGGCAAAGGAAGAAGCGGAGAAGCCAGCTGGTAGGTATGAATGTCTTGTATTATTAATTTAATATACTGGACGGATTACCACGACTAAACTTTCAAATTTATTATTGAATACTTGTTGATAGCAACTCGTACTCGAGCTCGAAGTCAGAGGAAAAACGAGGATTTAAACAAGAACGATTCTGTAAAAAAAGGTCATTCATTTGCAACGGGGGTAGAGTCTAATTCAGAAATAGTACAGTCAAGCCGTTCTACAACTTCGACCGAGTTATCAAATGTTCCTTATGGTAGCTTAGTCTGGGCAAAAATGCAAGACTTTCCTTGGTATCCAGCTGAGGTATTAAGGTTTTATTATCTTTTCAATTTTTTTTATTTCGATATTCACCTACTATAATTAAATATAGGTTGCAGACCCAAATGGGCCTGAAGTCACTGAGGCGATCAGATCAGACAAAAAAGAAGGTGATCATTATTTGGTACGCTTTTTCGATGAGAAAAAAGAGAAGAAGAAATCTAGACGCAGTTGGTTAGTACATTAAATGTTATGAAAATTATAACCCCTGAAATTTTACTAACAAATTTCTTGTTAGGAAATGGGTTCCGGAGACTAAAGTCCTCCTTATTGGAGATCAGCAAATGGACTTGTCAAAATTAAGGGAAAAATCAATGTCAAATACGATGAAAAAGGAAGTTCCCAAAGCGTATGAAGCTGCATGTTTGTCTAAAGGTATAGAACCCGTTGTTTTACAACAACTACAACAACTTTCGGTAATGCCTCTAAAAAAACATAATCGTAAATAATTGTAAGCTACTTGTTTCGTCTTTGTGACGGACATTTGTAAATATATGATTAAGTTACAAAATTTTGTAGTAATTTTGTTATAATACGAATTAAGACAAAGTATTACTAAATAAATGAGTTGGTTTTACTTATTTAATGTGGTCTTCGAGTAAATTTTACATTTCTAACTATATAGTTGCTTAAAGTATTATATAAGATATTTTGAAATATTATCAAAGAAATTAATCAAAAGTTAAAAGCAATATAAAAAAATTAAAACCTATAAAGAATTAAAAAAAAATAATTACAAATATAAAAAGAAACAAATTGATAAAGAATTTTATTTTTTATTTTTTTTATTTTTTGGTATTAAGGTAAGGCCTTGCTCATATCTTTATTAGTAATTGTAATATTAACTATGTATTGACTACTATCTGTACAGATATAAATAAAAGGAAAATTATATGCAAGAATAAAAGCTTAGATATATTTATCTGTAATTTAAACTTATTAGAGTGGTTAAAGACTTGTCTAGATTATTATAGATAGGATATAATTTAATAAGTTATATTTTATTTAGTAAACAGACTAGTTACTAATCTTTTTTCTAGTTTGGTCAATGGGTAGACATATGTTAATGTGAGAATGTAGCTGATTTGGAGTTTTATATAAACAAGAATATGTATAATTTTTATAATTATGATTAGTTCTAGTTGATTTGGGGATAGGTTTTGTTGTTATGTACTGTATATAGATATTTAAAATTTTGTTGTTTTTTTCAATTAATAAATTTAATACAGTAAGGTTTTCAAAGTTGTTTATATATTTGTACATTAATTTTAAGTAGTAGTTAACAATTGTATATGAAGCAAGTTTGTAAAGAATCTCAAAGTCTTGAAGAATTTTGATTAAAAATATTGAAATTAGATTTTTAAGTATAAGTTTTAGATAGTAAAAGTAAAACTGCATTGTTATAAAGTTAAATATTTCATAGTAACTAATTTTGTATAAGAGTTCATCTACAGTATTTTGTTAAAAAAAAAATTGAAGTCTATAGCTTTAAGTATTACAATAAAAACAATTATTATTGTGAAAGATTATAAAATATTGAGTATAGTAGAAAAGTAAGTGGTTTTTTTTTTTAACTCTCATAATGTCATGTGAAGGCAGATTTTTATTAGGCATTTTAGATAGTATATTCTTGGTTAATGAGATTACATGTAGCCACATGTATAACTTTTTTTTTTTTTTTTTTTTTTTTTTTGAATTTGCTATATACATGATAAGATTAGTTACAGATTTGTATCAAGATGATATT